GACCCCCTTACCTTGCTTAGCATATACCTGTGCATAGACAGTACTTCTGGCAACTCTGCCTCACAGGAGCTCAGAAGTCTTGGTGACACTTAAGTGGGTAATCTGGTGTCACTGGGCAACTCTGACCTAGAGCTTCTGGGACCAACAGTCTTGTCATCTGGAGAGTCCACCAATCATCTGGTCCTTCAGGGGATTCCTTCTGGCTGCAGTTGGTAACCCTCTTTTCTCTGTGGTTGGCACAGTGTCTCCATCAAAGGGCCTGGAATAAGGCCAAAAGTTCTGGAGCTGTGCCCAAATGGTGTGGTCCAGGGTGACTACCACTGCCCCTGCGTATCAGGTCCCATCCTGAACGTAACTGCTCTCATCCTTGAACAGTACCTTGTCGTCTGTTACCTCTGTGCAGTCATAAATGGGTTCCTCCATCATCATCTGGAAGCAGGCTGGCAGGATTCATAGCCAGAGTCTTTATGAATCCGGACACAGGGCTGGTCCAGGAGAAAAGCTTTGCTTCTGGCCCAGAGTCTGCTTATCTGCCTTCTTCACCAGCAATGCTGTGGTGGCCACTGCCTGGAAGCATGCTGGCCACCCTGCTGCCACAGGGTCAGTCTCTTAGACAGATATTCAACAGGTCTCTTCCAGGGACCTAGAGTCTGAGTGAGAACCCCTTTGGCAATGCCTCTTACCTCATTCACGTAGAGGTGGAAGGGCTTCTTGATGTCTGGCAGGGCTAGGGCAACTGCTGAGATGAGAAGCCTCTTTGGCTCCTCAAAGGCCTGTTGTTCCACTTGGGACCAGTTCAACAGCTGCATTCCCCCAGTACATGTTCCTTCCGAGGACCGCAGTCCTTCTTGATGTCCAAGGAAAACAGGCAGTTTGTCCGGTGGCTTCCTGGGCTGATGTATGGGTCCTATTGGCTCTCTCAAGATTAAATAGGCTGCCCCAATGCCCATCAGGAAACTAACAGGCGTGCCTTTCCTAGCTAACCTTTCAGGACATTTTCTTTATAACTTTTATAAAAATCTTATCTTCCAAAAATACATAATCATGCCTCAAGTTTTAAAGAAAAGGCAAGGGAGGAGGGAGCAGGTCCAGTACCTGTTCCCATGCCTCTAACAGCTTGAAATTTAAAATGCCACATTTTTCCTACAGATACAGATTTATCTACATTTCTAAGCCCCCTCTACTCTGCGCCCCACCCCCAGAACATCGGTGAAAATTGTCCAAGCAGTTGCGGGGGGTTAAATCATACAAATAATTGTTTTCACATTGTTTTAACACAATTCTAAATAAATTATATACCTTTGTGATGAAGTCTACTTAAATCTATAAAGTAGACACACATGACTGAAACCAAAAATGATTCCCAAAGTTTAAACAACCGAATGTACAAATACAAGATGCAGGTACAAGCCCAAATTCAAACTTACAATGTGATTACAAATGATAACATCAATGGCATATGAGAAAAGCAAAACAAAACAAATTAATATGGCTATCACTTTTTCTACATTAAGAGAAAAATATATGATTTGGCCTACTTCTTCACAAGAGGCACACTATAAATTCCCAATAAATTTACTTAGGTCTGTATGAAACAACCTGGATAGGGCTCAAGCATCATATAGATTCCTCATCTGACAAATGAGAATAAATCAATCCTTGAGATATTTGATCATTACTGCTTATTCTAAACACATGTAATACAGGTTAGCCTGCCATATTCTAGGCATTTAGTTACTGCAATTAACTTTTCCTAATTCAATTTATACTTTGAACTTTTAAAGCTGGCAAGTCAAATATATTTGGCATTTTTTAGATTAATAACATTACATTTCTACTACATCTTGCTTACTTAGGGTAAAGTTTCAGCAACAGATCTGGTCACACATTTTTTCAGATCTCAAAATTTTTTTCTGAAGTTCAAACAAAGCACTGAATAATCTCTTTGCAGGAGAACTAATAGTCTTGTGCTCTCCGGCCTCCCCTAGACCTCTCCGTACCAGAGGCAGTTTACTAAGATTTAAGACAATGTCAGAAAAAATGAATTTTGTTCATAGGTCAATCACAATTCATACTTATATGACTCTGCTTAGCTGATACCAATGACAAAGACTAAACATTGTAAGCAAGGCCATCTGGGCAGCTTCACCACGGAATCACCTGCCACTCCCTGCAGATCACTGGAGTAGCATTCAAATGCAAATGAACACATTCTTTAGCTGAAAACTCCCAGTCATTCTTATAAACTTGTTACCATTACCATCTAGTTTCCGCCTCATGGCAGGGAATTTCAAAAGCTGCTTACAATGACTTGGGAAACCAGTTTTAATTTACCTCCCAGTTAATCTCCACCATTTTTAAAACTTATACTGTACACAGAAAAGAGTTTTAAGCACAGCCCAAAACTATGCGCACTCGTTTTGAACTGGCCTTTTCCCTTTACTGAGCACAGAAATTCGCCCTTGAGCTCTTCTCCCGGACTGATGCCTCCACGCCAGCCCAGGACACCGCCCCCCCCCGGCCCAGGCCCCCAGAGCGAGGCTGCTGCCGCAGCGGCCCCAGCCACACTACTTAGGCCGCACCCTGAGGAGAAAGCGCAAGTCGCCCCAGCGGCTTCCCGGCTCCACCTCCCCTTCTCCAGGCAGCCAGCAAATTAACCAAGGTGCCTGCTTCCCGAGTGAGACCACCACTGCCCAGCCGCACTCCAATGCACAGACTGAGCCTCACAAAAGCCCCTCCTTCGACCCAACGCCACCAGGGGGCCCCGCACCACCACACAGGTCACACTTTGCCGGCTCCATCCTGGGGTGCCATGTCGCCAACCGATACCAAACTCAGACCTGGGAAAGGCTCACTTTCCACAGGTTAGGCAACAGCTCACAATGCTCACCTCGTCCTGGGAGAGGCTACCATCCCTCTTCCCATGTGAGGGTCCCTCTAGGGTAGGGGTGTCGAACTCAATCAGAGAAGGGGCCAAAATCTAAAATCCAGCCTAAATCGCGGGCCGAATGGTTTACTGAACAGTCATAAACTGTCATTGTGATGGAAACGCAGCGGAGTGCGGTGTGGGCCACATTGCAAGGCCTGGCTGGACAGATTTGGCCACATTGCAAGGCCTGGCTGGACAGATTTGGCCCGCAGGCCTTGTGTTTGGCACATGTGCTCTAGGGCCTTCCCGGGAGGTCAGAACGTCTTCTGACCTCCTGCCGGTGGCCTTCATGGTGCGTCCACCAGGTGTATTTGGCCGCCAATTCCATGAGGGGTTTTATGTCCCTCCAGAGCGTGCACACAAGGACACAGACAAACACACACCTACCATGACCAGTCAGTCTCTCTGGATCCGGGCCCCTCATGGTCTTGGCTTGGGATCCTGGACGAGCCCCCATATATTACACCCAGACTTCATGATCCCCAATGACCACCAGGGAGCCGAGTCCGATGCAATAAACAAAAGAGCCTTTTCCATGCTAGCATGGGCTCTGTCCCACTCAGGCCGGCAGCATGGCTGAAGAGAGCAAATTTCACCCAGTCCAGGGGTTTTACTCCGGTTGGTGGTGATGTCACTGCCTCGGCTAACCCTGATTGGTTGGGTGAGGGCTAGGGTTCAATTACAGAATGGAGGATAACTCCTCCCTGCCCCACAGTGGAGTCAGGAGCCCATCCTCTCCCCGCCCTGCCCTCTCACTGTGCAGGCCCGATACGGGGAGAATGTGGGCTGCAGAGGACAGAGGGCAAGGATGGGTGTGTACCATGTCTCTCTTCAGCAGATTCTCAGTTATAAAGTAAAAATATAATTCACACCTTAAAGAATTTTTGTGAATTTATTTGAGCTAAACTGTTGACATATGCCATGAAACAGAACCTCAATGAATTGAGATAATGCTCCAGAGAATGGAGGGTTACATCTGTCTTTGTACACAGCAATCAAAGGAAAGGGACATAGGAGAGCTACATGAAATTCATTGTAACTGCCTCCCTGCAGGACACCCTGAGAGCTGGGTTCATCTCTCAGGTTCACAGAGCAGTGTCTGTAGGGTGGGACACCTTAAATCCATGTGCAGCCATGTCAGTGAGAGGCAAGCAGCTAACTGCCCCCTATGGGCTCTTCTGAGGGTGGAGCCAGGGGCTGATCACCCTCAAGTGAGGTTTGGGGCCTGGACTCTGCGTCCTCGCCCCCCCCCCCCAGCACTGTGGGGGAGGGAGGGTAACATCATTCTCAGTGAGGGGACAGGAATCCCTAGAATGTTTTCCTTGTCAACCCAGAGAGCAACCATCAGGGACCTGGTGACAGGAAGGGCACAGAAGAAAAGTCACCAGATCTAAAACAGCCACTTCCTCCTTTTTTGCCTGCAGAGAATCTAATTAAAGACACAAAGAAGGAAGCAGGATCTGCCCCAGGGACAACAGGAAAGAAGAAAGCATTGACCCCAATAGGAAGTCTGCAAAACCAACCCCTCCAGGGACAGCTTCTGAGCTGGGACACTAGGTTTGCTTGTGCTGACCACCTCCTGGTGTCCGAGACTCTCCCTGCACCCAGCCCTGTTTCCTCCCTCAGGGAGGTTTGTATCTGGGCTTACACTGACTTCCCCTCACTGTGTGTCTGGTACAGTAATACAGGATAGTGTCCTCAGCTCTCAGGCTTTTCATTTGCAGATACAGCATGTTCTTGGTGTTGTTTCTGTAGATGGTGAATCGACCCTTCACAGAGTAGGCATAGTATGTGGTACTTCCATCAGGATTGGTATTCCCAAGCCACTCCAGCCCCTTCCCTGGAGCCTGACAGAGCCAGTGCATCCAGCAGCTACTGAAGTTGAATGCAGAGGTTGCACAGGAGTGTCTCAGAGACCCCCCCAGGCTGCACCAAGCCTCTGTCAGACTCCACCAGCTGCACCTCACACTGGACACCTGCAAACACAGAGACACAAGGTGGACTTAGATTCACATGGAAGCACTAACAGGCATAGGCACAGGTCTCAGCACTCCCCTCTCCTGAGAATGACCTTGAGAAATGATCAGGAGGAAAACGCAGCTTGGCACCAAGTCCATGGTGAAGTCCCTGGGGTCCTGTCTCAGGCTCGTGGGTTCTGGGTGTCTCCCCAGATG